TTCCTCCAGCACCCAGAGGCATCCCCTCTGCCCTGCCCTGCGAGTGTGGCAGGCTCCACCCTGCTCTCCAGCCTGGCGCACAGCCCAGGGCAGGCTCACTTACTGAGGGAGGTGGCGGGGTGACGGACAGCCTGCCACGCCCTGGGGTGGGGTCCAGATAGAGATATTCTTGGTCAGTTACTGAGGAATCGCTCACACCCAGGGCAAGGCTACAGAAGAAAGAGTTCAGGTTTCGTCCTCAGGTAAATCGGAAGCAGTCGCTGCTGCTAACTTGGATAGGCTGAATACAGTGGCCATCGAACCAGTTCCTCCCAAGCCTGAATGGTAGAGTTCTCTGGAGAATTACATCTGACAGTTTATTCAAATTTTCCAGAATTGCGCTCAAAAATATCAAACAGTGTCAGTAATATTTGTTGCTGATATTACTGGTATTAAATGTTAAAGGATAATCTAGGTACATCTTTCCTCTTTGAATGCTTCTGCCCGTAGTAAAGAAGCAGAATAAGACCAATGTGTGTTATTGAACTTGACTATGATACCGAGATCCCAGACGCAGCCAGCTTAACGAACCTCCTAAACCATCAAGGTGCACCTTAGAAACGCAGGCATCTTTCTCCGTAAGTGTGGGTTCCCTTTTTCACTTGGTCTGAGGCATGAACAGGTACAGCACGAAGCCTGAGGCATGATACAGACGGTATCTGGGCTTTCAAGGAGGACGCAGGGCAATTCTGTTATTTATGATAACCCTCAGGGTGAACTGAGTCACCCTCCTCCCCGAATGCCTTATAAGGCTCGCCGGCCTCCAGCAGCTGAACTTAGGGATTTTGGGGAGGGAGAGGTAGAACAGAAAGGTGTATTTTGAACAAGTGTCTCTGAGGCTGTGTTTACGTTTATGATTTTCCAAGTCTTATCATTTCTTTAAGGACTAAAAACGATTCTTTGTCCAGATGGCCATAGAGGAAGTGTTATTTCAAAATGCTTTCATGTAGCAGTGATGTGAAAAAGGATGACTGCTTTCCATAGTATCTAATATGCTCCCTTAAGTGATTGCGCCTGGAATGAACTCCTTTGGCTGGTGGTCGGGAATCCTGGAGCACCTGGATTTACTTGGCAATACAGTGTTGCCCATGTGATTCTTCGGGCATCTGAATTTTTAATAAACTGCCCACGGATTTCTTAACCACCAGTATTTACAAACCACATGCGTAGGCATGATACCACCTAGGCAATATTTTAACAATATGATCAAGTTCACCTCCTGGAATTACAGGAAATCCATGAAACATTCTACTGAAATGTACTCTTCACAGATTAAGCAAGAGACTTAGCAAATGTTCAAACCAAGAATAATCAGATTAATATTATTTTGTTGCCAAGAAATTGGCTAACACAGAACCTTGCATTGATAATTAAAGGTCCTGAGACAGAAAAGATATTATCTATTTAAAATTAGCGTACAAACTATACACGTTCTCGGCACTATACAAGATTTTAATAAGCAATTTCAAGGGGGTAAATATGCAAATTCAATATTAAAATGATTCTATTAACATACTAACAAAAGGATTTCAACTTTTTCCATCTAACTGGGTCAGAAACACGAGTAGGATATCAGAGTCAGTTGTGATACGTTATGATGGTCTTATTTTTCAAAGTACTGTGTGCCAAATTAAATCTTGGACGGAAGTTGGAGCACCGTTTGATTCTATAATAACTTCCTTGGCTCTGGGCAAGCTCCTTCCTGGAGGTCAGCGGTTCTCAACCTGTGGGTCGCGACCCCTTTGGGAGTCTAACGACCCTTTCACAGGGGTCGCCTAAGACCATCGGAAAACACATATTTTCGATGGTCTTAGGAACTGAGACACTGCTCCTCTATCTGTCTCCATGCTTCAAGACAAAATTTCATTTATTTGTAATTAGAAATGAATATTTCACAATATATAATTACATATTGTTTTTGTGATTAATAACTATGCTTTAATTATGTTCAATTTGTAACAATGAAAATACATCCTGCATATCAGATCTTTACATTACGATTCATAACAGTAGCAAAATTACAGTTATAGAATAGCAACGAAAATAATTTTATGGTTGGGGGTCACCACAACATGAGGAACTGTATTAAGGGGTCGCGACATTAGGAAGGTTGAGAACCGCTGCTGTAGGTGCTTGTGACTGAGAGCTGATTGGCCAGCTGTTGCTGGTCGCGGCCGTATAACTGAGCAGTTGTTTCAACCTCCATCCCAGGTTCTCTGTTCTCAACAGATATGGTAGTTTGATGATGTTTTTGACTTTTTAAAAACAATCCATGAGGAAATTAGGCACTGCCAATTAAAAATAACAAAATGAAATACACTACTTCAAAAGAGAAGTACAAATTGACTTAAACCTTGTTATTTTAATAATTTACGTATTAAAGGTATCAAATTATCAAAGATGATTGACTTGCTCAGGAGCTAATAAGCAATCACGGAATAATTGATTCAAGGAAATATTCAGTCTATTAACTGTGTGATATGATATTTCTCATAATAACATGCTTGTCTTCTCAAAACAGAACTGCTCTGTTCCGAAGCAGATAGAAGGGGTGAAATCTGAACTATTACAGTATTAACACATATACAGCATTACAGGAGTGTGTACCATTAGTTTGAGGACTGGCTTGCATTAATCAATTTAAAAGCCCATTTCCTGTTATCCTATGGCTTAATAGTCATGAAATTATTCATTTAGGGTGTGTTTTGCATTTCATTGATTTAGTTAGCTTTTGCTAGGTAATAAACTACCCCAAATCTAGTGGTTTTAACCAGCTCATGTGGCCTCAGGTTGTGTGGGCTGGTGATTTGGGTTGGCACAGCGGGGCAGTTCTGCTCATCCCGGCTGGCCCCTCCATGTGTTTGCTGTCAGCTGCCTGTCCCTGGGGAGGGGACGCTGCAGTTGTCCGGAAGCCTCAGCCATCCAGGCTCATGTCTGTCCCCTGAGACTTCTCCCTGGCCAGCAGGTTGGGTTACATTTTCATGGCACCATGTTTCCCAGCATCGACGAGCACCTGCCTTAAAGCACAAGCACCCGCCCTAAAGCACAAGCACCTTTGTGCCCCCGTTTCTGTTACCTTTGCTTGTTGCCTCACTGGCAAAGCAGGTGCCATGGCCAGTCTTAGTCATGGTGAGAAGTCATTCCTGAGGGGCTTGGGACTGGGAGAAGACACTTTTCCAGCCACCTGACAGCCTATTGCAGACCTCCCCCAGCTGCAAATTATCTTTTTACATAAAACATATCCTTAGTGGCTTCCTGGGATGTCCAGAAAGCTCGTAAATCATGGCATCAGTCTTGACACCCAAGGTTTCAGGAGCTTTAATCCTGTGTGGAGGCAGCTCCTGAGTACAGCTGCCCTTGATCCCTGGACTGAGGTGTTTTCTGCCTGCGACTCGCCCAACATACAGGGTGGAGATGGGGGTCACCTGTAGTGAGCACTCCAGTCCTGTAACAGCTGCTGGGCTTGTACTGAAAGGTCCACCAGCTCCAGTGACAAGGAATAAACCTTGATTAGGCCTAGAGATAGCTCCCGGGAAGTGGCTCCTGTGTCATGGTTCGATCTGAAGGCCCTGAGAACTCCTGTCCCGTTAAACACTCTTCCTGCCTCTCGGCCCGCCCCGGGCCTGCTGACTCCTCTCCAGGACTTCCTTGCCTTCCCTAAGAAGTGGTCCACATTTGCAGTTAGACAGTTCTGCAATGTGCTTTCTGTCTGTAGACGTTGTGTCCCCAGAGGCCTCTTCCTCGTTGGCGTAATCTGTACCCCTTTAGTCCAAGCTGTTGGTCCTTTTGCTAGTTTGCCATTCAAATCAGTGACTCCGAGCTGCATGTTTTAAGGTTTTGTACAGCAGCCCTTCTGCTTCCGGTGTCAGAGTTTTCTGTTCCCTTTCCTCTGTGTTGCACCAGCACAGAACCAAGTGCCTTAAAACAACACCTGTTAACCACACCCCAGACTGCGGTTAGCAGTGTGGGCTGGGCTCATCGTGAACACACCTGTGTCAGGTCACGGCTGGTGAGGGCTCAGATGGTCCAGTGGGGCTTCTGCTGGGGGGCCCATCGAGTCCCCACATACTACTTTGCTTCCACAGGCGAACCCAGGCGTGTTCACATGGTGAGAGTCCCTGTCTCAGACGAGGCTTCCCAGAACTGACTCTGGAGATGAACTGGAGGTACAAGATATTTATCTGTGACCAACACCAGGACCAGAAGAACAGTGAACCATCCTGGGAAGAGAGAGAAGTCAGACGGTGAAACATCCTCGGGGAATCCGGGCCACAGTCCCTCAGGCAGCTCTGGAGGGGCCATGACTCAGGCCCTGAAGGACCTGGCAGCTGCAACTTGTCGCTCACCGCGCTCCCTGACATGGGGCAGGTCCCCCTTCCTCAGAGGAGGACCCAGAGATTCTTCTCCAGGAAACAGGCCCCAGGGGGTCACATTTGCTGATGTCCCCATGGTCAGAGGAATCAGATGATCAAGTGATGCACAAACAGGATGTGGACACCAGGAGAGGGTGGCTTTGAGACGGCTTTCACAATCGATGGTACTGCGATTCCAGTGTGGTAATGACCTTGCAGGAGCAGCATTAATTGATCACAACTAACAAACGAGCTGATATTCCTGCCTCTTTGTGTTGAACGTGACCTTTATTTTCCCCACACGCCAACTTCAAGGAAGTCTAGAAATAAGTGAAGGGTACGTCCTGAAGAACAAAGAAACAGCCAGGTCACTCGCGACTCCCTGTTTGGGTGAAAGAGGAGAATAATTCAATGTTTTCCCATAGGATTTAGAGAGCTCAGAAGCCTGCCTCACTGACACATGTTTTATCCAAATATTTTGGGTTAGAAATTACAATGTTTTTGTCTCATGATGTTAAGCCTGTTTGGGGTTGAATATGACGTCAATGTTGTTTTCCTGGTACGGATTGACATTTTTAATTTTGTTTCTATTTAATTTTCTCATTCCAGACGAGAGAGCTTCTAAATTCTCGACAGAAGGCTCTGGAGACAGAAACAGCTTAGACTCCTTCTGTTGACGGTACTTTGTGAAAAATATATTCACCAGTTGGCGGAGACCTAGTCCCCACAGCCTGGCATAACCAATTATCGCGTCTCAGCACATGAAGGGAGCCCTTGGACGCTGTGGCAGTGGTGTCACCAGAAGGGGCGGTCTCACAGAGGGGACCCATCCTGTCGGTCCTTCCGCTGACTGACTGAAATCAGTTAACAATCAGTCTTCTCACTTCCTTAGACTTAAACGTCCAGGCTTTCATTTTAAATATACAAATTATAAAGCGTTTAGGTTGATGATAGCATGTTTTTCACTGCACTGCAAATCATAAAATTATATACTTTGGTTTCTAGTTGTGAAAATATTGTGAAATGGGTGGTTTTGTTTCCTGAAAGTATCAGCCATACAGATGACTGTACTTGTGTTTGTAAAAATGCACTATGACTGACATAAAGGGAAATTTAACATTCAGCAACACAGAGGGTGCCAAATAAATGTATGCACATTTTAAGAAAGGAAAAAACTATTACAATTGTAATAATATATACCGATAACGAAAGATGAATACCAGTCATGTGTATAAATTTTTTTGGCATCCCCGGCATTACAGGGCAGTTACACCAAACTGTCCACATCCTCAGAGTGGAGTGGAGTGAAGGTGAGGGCGTCTGAGTGACTGTGTACATGATTCTCACAGGAAATTGCATGAGAAGCGGGATTATGGGTCTGCCGTAGGGGCGGGGATTTGAGTGTTAGTCCGTGGAGGAAGGCAGTGTCACAGGGTTTGGGTGATGAATCCTCTTTCAGTGATTTGACTCAGAAGCATTTTTGCACTAACCTAATCTTCTGACAAATTGCCTGAGACATCTAAACATATCCCAACACATTCATCCATCCTGTCTTTACAAGTTCAGGCTTTTTTACAATTGCTTTGGATGTACACACCAAAGATAAGAGTGATCAAATTGTTCCCAGCGTGGGTCGGGTAGGTGGGATAGCAGAGTCAGTTTCAAGTTGATGTCCGTGGGTTAGGATAAAGGCTGCCCAGAACGTAAGTCACCCATGGACGCGATGGGAGACGCACGGTATGGTAGCAGATAGGAAGTAGGTAATTTGATGTATTGCAATACTCAGCAGGTATTCACTGAGATATAGACAAAACTACAAGCTGAAAACAGGAAAACTAGTTTTTCTTTGCCCCTAGTGCCCACTGAAGCTATTTCTGTAGGCCCTTTACTTCCTGAATCCTAGGTGAGCGTGTAAGGCATTTCCATAGGGTCCTGTGCAGGTGATGTGTGCACAGGTGCATCCTGGCTTCCCCATGGGATGCCGCAGTTGCAGCGTGCATGGGACACACAGGAGGCACCGGGCATGCTGGAAGTGAAGAGGAGCTGCCAGACCCCAGAACAACTCTGGGGTGCCCAGCACCACCTGCTGAACCTGCATGAGCTCACTCTTTACTCTGCTCCCTAATCTCCCCAGCCCCCAGGTGCAGAGCCCAAGGCCTGCTTGGCGCGTCCTGGTGCAGACACAGGCGCAGGCGCAGACGCACCTCCAGGAGGCGCCCTCCAATGCCCGCTCCTGGGACACAGAGCTGCACCCCTCAGGCCCAGGGGGAGTGGGAACAATCCTGTCATGCTTCCCTTCCCCCTTTCCCTGTCCGCTCATGGCCCAGACCATGGACAATGCCATGGCAGGAGCAGCAGGCAGACAGTGCCCGACCTCGAGGGCACAGGGTTCCAGTAACTCCGGATTTCTCACCAAGAGCCGGGAGTCCCAGCATTGAGAGTGTGGAAGGGAGGGACTGAGCTGCTGTCTGTCACCACGGGAAAGGCCCTTCAGAGATGCCGGGCAGATAAAGACGGTCTCAGCCAAGAAAAACTAAGAGAATTCACAGCAGCAAATATGCTAGAGAATTACAGACAGGGAAGGATCCAGAAGGAACCCGGAGCACTGGGACCTCAGGAGGGGATGAGCAGCAGAAATGATCAGCATTTCAGGCAATGCATTAGCTGTGCTCCTCCAGAGTTCTTAAAACATGTTGTGAAACTGAATATATATTATATCATGTCTGATAGGGTTTTCAATGTAGGTAAATGTAATATATATTATATGTAACTTAACTATTCTATAAATGGGGGGGTGGTTTACAGGCAACTACACGGCAGTGAACTTGATCAAAGAGGACAGAGTTACAGAGCTCATATTCTAGTGGCTGACACAGACATGAAGTAGCTGATTGCAGGTAAGTCATTTTATAATTAGGTGTTTCACAGATGCCTTTATAGACCATTCCGCCCGGCCGCCTTCATTCAAGGAGCTGACCCTACAGACACCCTGTGTGCAGGGCGTGTGCTGCACCGCTGTTTCTCTAGCAAAACAGTGTGGAGACAAGCCCTGGGGGACGGGCACCCAAGGCATGGCAGGCCAGGAAAGCCTGGAGCCGAGCGTGTGGGTGAGCAATGCTTCTGTGCACTGATAGGAAATGGCTGCCGAGATACACAGACGTAAATAGGGGACATGTACAGATAAGCAAAAGCGAAGTGCTGACTGCGTTTACTAACATAATGCCATTAGTACTATAAGAACAGCAGGAAAAAGGAGTGCATGTGTTGACTTGAATATGCATAAAATAGTCTCAGAATTTTCTTCAGAACATGAAGCTTTTTCATCTGCATCCAGATATCGGACCAATTTTGGGGGCACAAGGATGGGAACCAGGCTTTGCAGTGTAAGGTTTTGTAAATTTTAAGTTTGGAAACATGAAATATATTACTACATAAAATAAATATTTAAAGTGATCACTTAGAGGAGGGCTGCAGAGTGCCTGGTGTTCATTTATTTTTGTGGTTTGTTTTCTTTTTGTTCGTTTTATCAGTGATCTAAAACATGGCGGATGGTCCCTGGCAGTTCGTGCGAGTGGGGGTAGGAACAGAGCCCCTGTCCCCTGCCTCATCCTTACAGATTGATTATAGTGATGTGAGACCAGTGGTCACCAATTTTGAGGCAGGTACGTCATACCCTTAGGTAAAATAATTGCAATAGATTGGCTCAGAAAGATCTTCAGAATAAAATACAACGCACTTCCTAACGAGAAGGCAGTACCAGTGATTGTGTTGTAAGTCACATATTCTGGAGGTCATTGCTTCGTATTGAACTCTATTCATGGCCAACATGGTATTGGAATGTATTTTTCCTGTGAATAACTTTTTTTTTTTTTTCAGCTGAGCCATCCTGCCACCTGTTGGCAGCTCAGCGGCTGCTCAGCTCAGGCCGGGATTCGAACCACTGTTGCTCAGAGCTCAAACTCTTGAGCGAGCTCTTAACCAACTGAGCCACTCGGCCGGCCCTTTCCTGTGAATAACTTGATGCCTAACATTGTTCAGCTTGTCGTTCTTAATTAAGTAGGTAGGTAAGTAAATTCAAGTGTTCCGTGCAGCACAAACCTAGTTGCTGTACTCAGCAAATTGTAAATGTTGTCTGCAGGACTTAGGAAACCGTGGCTTATGTTTAAAGCACGTAATTTTCTAAAGGAGGGTCATCTTTTCTAGTTGCTGTATGGGCAAGTCTCTTCGCAGGGTGCCTGCAAGACACATAAGATTAAGTGTGAGCTGCCTGTGTGGGGGTGGTCAGTTAGGACAGGAAGCCAACCTGAAAATAACCAGCATCTGCGTCCTCACGACCGCAGTGGTGTGAGCAAGAGACCGGATGAGAGGCAGGCGCTTCGTTTCCCAGGGACCAGCAATGGGACAGTCAGCCGGACACGTGTCACACAGGTGGAGGATGGCTCCCTGCTGAGGACCCTGGCATTAAAGGCTCCTGCCATTTTAAGGTCCCAGCTTGTTGGGGGGATGAAGAGGGGAAGGGATGGACTGGAAAAGGACTGAGTCAGAGTGGAGAGGCGCCTTAGCCAAGGCTCCCCCCCCCCTCCCCGCCAAAGGAGGTCTGAGCAGCAGCTCCTGCAAACCTGCAGCCTGTGCCTGCACTCTCACCTGGGGGCCTGTGCAGAAGCCACCTGAGCTGGGCACACAGGTCTATTAGGGACACACCATCAGGGGAGGACGAGTGTGGGAGGGTGGTGGCGCTGGACCCGGTCCCCTCCCTCCAGCAAGCTGCAGTGCGCTGGCTGTGCTCCAGCCTGG